GCCACTGCACTCCAGTCTGGGTGACAGAGTGAAACTCCAACTCAAAAAAAAAAAAAGATATCTTGGGCAAATTAGTCTTTGGTGTGACTTTTGTTAGCTTAAAGAATTTTCAAAATGAGATAAAGTTAAAACTCTTTTCCTGAGTAGATATAGATTTTCCTGTACAATATAAATTTAGTATGTTTAGCCAAGTAGTAGTTACAGTAAGAACATGTAATAAGACTGAGCAAAATCTGATGTAATAATGAAAGTTGTTGCCATTTAAAAGCAAAATGTGAATTGATGAATTAACTCAAAACAGTTTTGAGTTAGAGAAACTGACCTTGAAGATGAAGATATTCATGGAGGGGGAAAAACAAGACAGGCTGCATCAGTCTAAACAGGAAAAGTTGTATAAAGCTTCTTGAATGGTCACTGAACTGCAGTAGTATTGTCTGGATCTTGAGAATGTAAACCTAAGTGAAACAGCCTGCTGAGCCTTGAGTAAATGCGTTAAACAAAAAATTGAGGTGTGTGAAGCTTGAGAACCTCCATGCTAGCACTCTTGTCAAGTTGCACCTTCAACTCTGGATCTGTTCTTTTACAGAAGAATCTGCTTTTCAAACACCAAAATCTAGCCAGATGCTTCGGCCTTCAGTGCCACCGTTAGTTAAAACTTCTCTGTTTTCTTCAAAATTATCTACATCTGATGTTGCTAGTCCCCTTGGGAGCCCATTTGGCTCAAGTGTAGTGAATCGGATGGCTGGAATTTTTGATGTAAGCACCTGCTATGGGTCACCACAAAGTTCTCAGCTAATAAGAAGGGGGCCAAGATTATGGACATCTGCTTCTGGTGAGTACTATTTATATTCTAAAATTTGAAATGTCATAGTTGCCGAGGATCAGAGGGCCTAAGTTCTCACCTTACTGTTTTGTTTTTTTTTTAACAGATCAGCAAATGACTGAATTTTTTAATCCTTCTCCATCTTCCTCTATTAGTGCTGAGGGTAAAGCAGTAAGACAACCCAGTGTGATTTATTCATGGATTCAGAATAAACGGGAACAGGTAGGATGATATGGATACAGGATTTATATTTGCATGTAACATTGAGAGCATTAAGGATCTCACATGAGTAAGTCATCAGGAATAAATAGAGGGTTTTTTTCCCAGCTTCATGTATTAAGTTGGCATATGAAATTGCCAATGTTTGACTGGTTTTGAGCTATACACATTGTAATTTCATATGCCTTAACCTGATGTAATGCCTTTAATTTGTAAATTCTTTCATTTAAAACATATTTGAGTTTGTTTAATGTGTGCACGGTACTGTTTTAGGCACTGGGAAAACAACATACAAAGTCCTTGCCCATATGATGTTTGCATTCTAGTGAGGGGAAACATGAGTAAGCGAATATATTATGCTATATTTCTTTGAAATATAAAACACCATTAATTGTAAGACTTATTTAATATACTATTAAGAAAAAAGTTGCCTTCAGCTATGACATGCTATTAACTGAAAGACACATCCCAATAGGTCAGATTTAAGATATGAAAAGTGTGCTTTAAAGGGAAGAAATGTGATATATCTCAAGTGTTATCTAGAAAAATGGAGCAAGTAAGTGAGACAGGGAGTTCTCTTATATGTGGAGTGATCAGGGCAAGTCTCATTGATAAGGTGATACTTGATCAGAGACCTGGAGGAAGGGCAGGGAGCAGCGAAATGCAAAGACCCTAGGTGGGGGTGTGCTTGCCTTGTGAGGAACAGTGTGGACCCCGGTATGGCTGGAGCGGAGTGAGTGAGGGGAGAGTGGAAGTGGGTCATAGAATCACAGGGTAGCAGGTACCCAAGGCTCATTGGGCCCGTTAGCTGCAGTAACGATTGGTTTCTTCCCTCAGTGCAAAGCCACTGTAGGTTTTGCTCACAAGAATGACGTGATGTTACTCACATTTTGAAAGTAACTCACTAGAAAGTACTGCTCTAGTGGCTGTGTTGAGGCTAGACTCTTAGGGCAGGAGTGGAAGCAGAGAGATGGTGTTAAGGATGTTGGAGTAATCAAGTGGGTGATGACGGTATTTGTGGCTAGAGTGGTTGGGGTTGGGGTTGTAAGATGTCATCAAGGTCTGCATAGATATTTTAAGGTAGATGTAATAGGATTAGCTTTTGGTTTGGTTGTAGTATATAAGAGAAACAGTAAATATTGACTCCAAGGTTTTTGGCTTAAGGATCTGGTATAATATAGTTGTAGTTTATTGAGTTGCAGTTTATTGATGATTCTTGGAGGAGGAGATTTGGTAAAAGTGAGATGGGGAAATCAAGAGTTTGATTTTGGGCATGCCAATTTGAGATACCTGTTAGACAACAGAAGAGAAAATACTGAGTAAGAAATGACACATATATCTAGAATGTAGGAGGAAGTTCTGGGCTAGAAATGTAACTTTGAAAGTCTTCAGAGTATAGATAGGCGTGTGTAGAGGAGTGTAGATAGGGAAGAAGAAGAGATCCAAGAACTGGGCCCTCCAGTGACTACAGTTCTGGCAGATGCGGAATAGCAAAGGAGAAGGAGTGGCCACAGGGGTGAGAGAAAACTAAGAAAAGAAAGTGTTTTTAGGAGGAAGAGAGTGTGTCAGGTGCTGCTGTTAGGGGGCATGAGGTATCAACTCCGAATTAGCTGTTGAATTAGAAATGTAGAGGTTAGTACCCTGAGTCCTTGACAAGAGCTGTTGGGTGGAGCTGTCGACATGAAAGCTGACAGGCATGAGTTCAGGAGAGCCTGGGAGAAGAACTGGAGATGGCAAGAAAAGCCATACCTTTCAAGGAGTTTTGCTGTAAGTGAAAAGAGAAATGGGGCAGTAGATGGGGGAGTTGAGGGGCCAGGGAATGGTTTGATTTTTTTTGTAAGATGGGAGAAATTGTAACATGCTTGCTGATGGAATGATTGATTGGAGAGATAATGATTAAAGGCAACTGTGAACTCCGGGGTCCCACATGGCTCTGTATGCTGTGAGCACTGCCATGGCGCTTTTTTGTTTTTGAGTTGGAGTCTCACTCGGTCGCCCAGACTGGAATGCAGTGGCTGCTCCTGGCCACCGCAGCCTCGACCTGCTGGCCTCTGGCGATCCTTCCGCCTCAGCCTTCTGAGTAGCCAGAATTACAGGCATGTGCTACCACGCCCGGCTGATTTTTTGATTTATTGTAGAGATGAGGTCTCGTTGCCCAGGCGGGTCTTGAACCCGTAGGCCCAGGCAATCCACTCACCTCAGCCTCCCTAAGGCGCGGGATTACAGGCTGAGCCACCGAACCCGGCTCATGGCGCTTTTTATGTGGTAGCTAGACACTCTAGACATACGTGTCATTTCTTACTCAGTATTTTCATTTCAGTTGTTTAATGAGTATCTCAAAATTGGCATGTCTAAAATCAAACTCCTGATTTCCCCACCTTATCTCTATCAAATCTCTTCCTCCTTTTTATGCGGTAACTAGTCTGCTGCATCCCTCTGACTAATCATGCAGCTTATGGGTGAGAGTATGGCAGGAGCAAATCTGCTTTGAAGTAGGTGGGTTAGTTTCCAGCTTGATATTGAGATACTTTTTTTCCCTGTAAATGCCAACTAGTAAAAAGCACTTCCTGTCTTTAGATCCTCCCTCCCCCCCCTTTGGGGAAACATGCTCTTTTTTTTGCTAATAAGAGGTTAAAGGGTAGGACAGTTAAAGAGAATTGAGAAAGAATATGGTCTCAGAAAATATCACCAGAACCACACAGAATTCCTTTTATTATGGCAGGAGTCCAATCTGGGGTTAAAGGTATATGCATGGGAATGCCATTTGGGTTAGAGGGCCCCGCTTGGTTATCCAGTTTATAGTACAAAGGGTTTATTTACTATAAGTAGTTTTCTTTGTAAGATGTGAAGTGTTTCATTTTTTCATTCAAGTTAGTATCAGAAAGAATCTGGAAATGTGTAATGTTATATTTGAATAGAATCTAAAATGTAAATGTGTTAATTATTCCTTTTTTCCGACTCAGATTAAGAATTTCTTGTCAAAACGGGTGCTGATAATGTATTTTTTCAGCAAGGTAAGAATATGTAGTTACAGCATTGGGAGAGAGGAAATGAAATATGAAATGAAGTAGCAGATAGGATCTGACTTGTAAATATTTTATAGCTTCATCCTAGCAAGCCAGGCAGCTTTGCAGAGTGCTTCATTGAACCTCCGTTCTAACAATAGTTGCTGCAGACACACATCTCACCTCAGGGGCTGCTGTAGCTCGGCTCTAAAGTTGCCTCTAGACTGAGACTTGGCTGTTGGCCACTCTGTGTTGGCACACAGCATGGACTCTTTCCTGCTGCCTGAGTCTTCACAAAGTGAGCAAAACTGTGGCTGGCTGATGCTGTACTTCATGGCTCATTGTCCTACTAGCATCTTTGTGACCAATTTGGTGTTCAAAAGAAAGATGTCTGAGATCACAGATGTTAAATTCATGGTGGATTAAAAAGTTGTAATTCAGGCAACACACAAAATGACTTTCCGACTAGCTTATCAGCTCTTCCAGCTGCCAGAGCATAGTAAATCTCGGTTGCAGAAGCTAAAGACTTGTTTCTGTTTCGCTGGTTACAGCTGTTTTGTGTTAATTAATCCTTTGATGAGCAAAACCTTTGCCCCTGTGTAGGGAAAATAATTTTTGTTTTTAAAAGTTAGCCTCTCAGCCGGGCTATGTGGCTCAGCCTGTAATCCTGCGCCTTTGGGAGGCTGAGGTGAGTGGATTGCCTGAGCCCGCGGGTTCGAATCCCGCCTGGGCAACGAGACCTCATCTCTACAATAAATCAAAAAATCAGCCGGGCGTGGTAGTGCATGCCTGTAATTCCGGCTACTCAGGAAGGCTGAGGCGGAAGGATCGCCGGAGCCCAGCAGGCGAGGCTGCGGTGGCTGGGAGCGGCCACTGTACTCCAGTCTGGGTGACAGAGACTCCAACTCAAAAAAAAAAAAAAAAGTTAGCCTCTGTCTTTCTGCAGATATTACAGTATTAGCTAATCTTACACTCACTCAATTAAATGTCTTCAAGTGAAAGTTTGCCTTGGCATCTGTTATTTTTATTTGGCAGTCATACTCTGGTGGCGAAAGAGATCTGAGAAACCCTGATAGAGTATAGATAACACATACAAGTCATTTCAAGTGCTTTTTAATTATGGTGGAAGGGAAGATCCAACTAGCAATTGCTCTCATCAGAAAATAGTCTACCTTGGGCCACCCATTAAGGAAGGTGTCTTTTCTTCCACCAGCAGGAAGAGGAGTTTTCTAAAGTTCTACCTTAGTGGTTGATTTCAGAAGGATGGGAAGAGAACTCACCGTGGATGTCTTATTTGTGCCATACTCTCTTTTTACTTAAGTTCCCTCACTTCTCGTATAGCAGTCCTGTGAGATGTGTCTTTTTGTCCTCATTTTACCGATAAGGAAGCCTGAGGCCCAGAGGGGTCAAGTAGCTAGCCTAAAGGGCTCATAGCCAGTAAGTGATAAATCAGAGACTGACTGAGGTCTCCTTTTTCCTTGGAAGTGAATGACTACTTTTGATTCTAACTCTTTGCACCCGGATGTCCCCTTGCTGGTGACTAGACAGAACAAACTTAGCCAGTGCAGATATTTCAATAATGTATGTTTCCTTGAAGTTTTCCATTCAAATTCCATGAAAAAGCAAATAAAGAGATGGGACGTATTCTGAGATATATGTAAAAAGAAATATCAGCTAGTATTATGTAGAAAGAGAATGTGTGAAGTGCTTCATACTGGTGCACAGACTGGACAATAAATTACATATTAATGTGGAAGGAAGAAAACGAGACTGCATTGCCTGCTCGAATAGAAAAACACTAGGTGGAAGATGTCAAACAAATTACTATTGCACAACATGTATCAATGAACCTGCAATGTATGTCAGTGACTGTTTCACACATCACCACATGTTTGAAAACTATAAGATATAAAATTTGATTTTTTTTGTCATAAGTTCCTCAATGTCCAAAATTCCATTATAAGCTAAATATCATTACAATAAAATAATTAGTTCCAATTCTGTACTATTTAATATGAAATGATTTGGAACTGGAGGTCATAATCTTAACAAATATTGCACTTATATGTGAAAATATTGCACTTATATGTGAAAACTAAAAAATGTAATCACATGGAGGTAGAGAATGGAAAGATAGATAGCAGAGACTGAGAAGGGTGAGTAGGAAGGGGTTACAAACATAGCTGGGTAGAAGAAGAAATAAATTCTGTGATAGCAGAGTAGGGTGACTGCAGTTAAAAAATGTACTATATGCAGCTGATGGATATTCTGAATACCTTACTTGATTATGTTATATGCATGTAAACAAATTTCACAAGTTGTATAAATAAAAAAATGTTTTAAAATAGAGGTTAGGTGGCTTTTCTTTGGAGTAGGGTTGAAGGTAGACAAGAGGTAGTAAGTATTTAGGCAGTACTTTTGTTTTAAAAAGAGCTTTTGTAACCTTACTCTAAGGTGACCTCTGACTAGTACGGTACTCTAAATGAGAAACTAAGGCACATGGAGATTTAGAGATTTGACAAGGGTCACACAATTAGTCGATGGCAGAATGCTTTATTATCAAAAATTATATTTCAGATTTTAATTTTTGAGAGGCAGCTGTGATTTTGTTGTTATTATAGTCTACACATTTGATTACATCAAAGAATAGAATTTTGCCCAAGGGACCTCTCTTAAATGTTTTTGCTTTATTTGTAGCACCCAGAGGCCTCCATCCAGGCTGTTTTTTCAGATGCCCAAATGCATATTTGGGCATTAGAAGGTAAGCAATGTCTGAGAACTGTAACTGATATTTTAATTATCATTTAAAATTTGAGCCGGGCTTGGTGGCTCAGCCTGTAATCCCATGCCTTTGGGAGGCTGAGGTGAGTGGATTGCCTGAGCCCGCGGGTTCGAGATCCACCTGGGTAGCGAGACCTCATCTCTATAATAAATCAAAAATCAGCCGGGCGTGGTAGCGCGCATCTGTAATTCCGGCTACTTGGAAGGCTGAGGCGGAAGGATCGCCGGAACCCAGCAGGTCGACGCTGCAGTGGCCGAGAACGGCCACTGCACTCCAGTCTGGGCGACAGAGTGAGACTCCAACTAAAAAAAATAATAATAAATAAATAAAATAAAATTTGAAGTATAGTTCCTGAAAGGTCAGTTCTGGACTTGGATCTCAGTCTTTGAATTTGCAGATAACATTTTAAGTAATTAATTAATTTATTCATTTATTTTTGAGTCAGAATCTCACTCAGTTGTCCAGGCTAGAGTGTAGTGGCACACTTCGGCCACCCCAGCGTCGGCCTGCTGGGCTCAGGTGATCCTTCTGCCTCAGTTTTCCAAGTAGCTGGAGCTATAGGTATGCATTACCACACCCGGCTAATGTTTTTTTTATTTATTATAGAGATGAGGGCTCACCAAGTTGCCCAGGCTGGTCTCGAACCCCTGGGCTCAGGCAATTCGCTCGCCTCTTCCTCCAAAAGTGCTGAAATTACAGGTTGAGTCACTGCACCTGGTCATAGAGTTGAGCATCTCTTCAGTGCCTTTTTCCATCTTTGGCCCTTTTTTTTCCCGTTGGAGTCTCACTCTGTTGCCCAGGCTGGAGTGCAGTGGTGTACTCATGGCCACTCCAGTGTTGACCTGCTGGGTTTAGGCGATCCTTCTGCCTCAGCTTCCAAGTAGCTGGGACTATAAGTGTGCGCCACCACGTCTGGTTAATTTTAAAAATTTATTTATTGTAGAGACGAGGTCTTGTCAAGTTGCCCAGGCTGGTCCTCTCACCTCAGCCTCCCAAAGTGCAGGGATTACAGGCTGAGCCACCACATCTGACCTGGCCCATTTTTTTACTGTATTGTCTCCCTCTTTATTTGTGATTCTTTTTATATTCAGAATATTAATCCTTCCTTAGATAGATAGATTGCAAATAGATTTGCCCAATTTTGATTCACTTCTGACTTTTTTTTTCTTTTCCCTTGTAGGTCTGTCTCACTTAGTAGCAGCATCATTTACAGAAGATAGATTTGGAGTTGTCCAGACCACCCTACCAGCCATCCTTAATACTTTATTGACGCTGCAAGAGGTAAGCAGTCTGTGGATTGAGTAGGGGTAGAGACCATCTTCTTCCCTCTCCCCCAGACTTCCTTTACTAACATCACGTTGGTGGTATGTTTATATCACCTTATAATATTGATTATGTGTCGCATAAGGCTTACTGAATGCTCGAGGCATTTGAGACAGCAGCTAGGGGGTGCAGTAGATTTTCTGGAGGGGGTGGTATTGAACTAGGCCTGCAGGATAAAAATGGGTGCCTCTTTTGGTTTGGGAAAGCTTGTTAAACTGTGAAGAGAAAACATGCTTCACCATTCCTTTATGCAAAACTTTATTCAGTTCATTTTACCCTTTAGGAAGTCTTACCATCTACCAGTGATTTTTTGCTGTAAGTACTCCTTGTGTTCACTTTCTCTGGATGCTACTTGGACGTGTATGTCCATATGGATAGTTTTATTATTTGTACTCTTTCCCAACTGCCTGTCTCTGAAGAAATGATTTCCTAGTATTTCCCCACAGCTTCTAATATTCAACTTATCTGACCACATAGTACCTATGATTTGGGCATATCTCTGGTGCTCATAACAGTTTGTTTTTTATCACTCTGACAGTGTGATAAAATAAGATAACCACAGTAGTACAATGTTTATAGCTTACAGAGTGATTTCATATCATTATTTGATTCTCGTTACTATCTTGTGAAGTAAGCAATATGGAGATATTGTAGGCCCTGTTTTACAGACGAGGGAGGCTCTGGAGTGGAGCGACTTATCTCAGGCTTCACAATCTCAGAACCAGGTCTCATTGCAGGGCATTAGCAGTGCAGTAGATCCCAGGAAAGGCTGCAGATCCTCATCGCTTATTCTTCCTAAACTTGTCTGTCATTTTGTCCTGTTCCTCACCCCCCACCTGACCCTCCCACATAGGGCTCTTTCTCCAGGGAGAACAGTTCCACCCTTAGAACTATGGCTTAGACCCGGCACAGTGACTCAAGCCTGTAATCCCAGCACTTTGGTAGGTGAGGTGAGAGGATTGCCTGAGCAACATGGTGAGACCTCATCTCTACAATAAATAAAAAATTAGCTGGGTGTGGTATTGCGTGCCTAAAGTTCCAGCTACTTGAAAGGCTGAGGCAGAAGGATCACTGGAGTCCAGCAGGTCAATGCTGGGGTGGCCATGAGCGTGCCACTGCACTCTAGCCTGGGTGATGGAGTGAGACTCTAACTCCACAAAAAAAACAAAACAAAACTGTGGCTTTCAAATTTTTTGAACCATGATTTGCAGTACCTTTACAGCGTATGTGTGTATATAACAGAAGCAAAAAGATTCTTGGAATAGTATTCACCTTTTAATATGTGCAGTGCATTTAATTTTAGAAATTAAATAATTTCTAAAAATGCTGGCTAAAGCTGACCGAATTAATTTCATAAAGATTACACTGCCCTAGAGGTGTTCTGCCCCAAAATTATTCTGTTCTCACCACCGTACCATCAAAATTTCTAGTTATTCTTCATAGTTGATAAGAAGAAAAGTAATTTTTTTCTTTGATTATAGTCAGCTAGGCTAGACGTGGTGGGGTCATTTATACCTTTGGACAGAAAGTTAAGAATTATAGATTTGTTCAGATGTGAAGCCCTGTCTTTGTTTTATGCTGCTATTCGGTAATTTATAAGGAACAAAAATATATTTGACTCATGGCTCTGAAAGCTGGGAAGTCCAAGGTGATGAGGGCCTTTATGCTGTGTCATAATATCCTTCATGCACAGAAGGAGCAAGAAATTGAATTCATAGCCTCAAGCCCTCTTATAATCTGCATTAATTCATTCATGAGAGTGGAGCCCTCATGAACTAAATACCTCCTATGAGGCCCTCCCACCCAGTACTATTGCACTGGTGATCAAGTTTTCCAGCACATGCCCTGTGGGATGAATCCCTTCAGGGATGAATTCAAACCATTGCAGACCCTGTTTACTTTGACCAGAGGAGTTGGTATGGAGAATACTCTTCGGAGGCAGGGTAGAACACAGCAAAAGGACCTATTTTGGGGATCTGGGAAGAGGTAAAAGGAACAAAGAACAGGACCAGTGACCTGGTACTTAGCTTCTGAATATAAAAACCCCTCCTTGTGTGAGGCTTGTAATATCTCTTTTCCCCTGAGCCACAACACAATCAGCCTTTTGGTTATGCTCTGCAGTCATCAGATTTTGCAAATGCTGCACAATCTTTTTCTTTCCACTCCACATCCTGAGATTAATTGTAAAGAATAATTCAGTGTCTACATGGATAGTCTGTCCCACACCCTGGCTACGTAGTTCTTTGACTTCATCCTCTTCACTACTCATTTGTATACCCTGACTTACTTGGGCACATTATCTCTGAACAGTCCACCTTCAAATCTTGATACTCCAGGATTCCATCCTCTAAGCCAAAGTTTTTGATGTGTTTATGCCAGAGTTCCCTTTGGCAGCCTGGTGAAGCCCATGAACTTTTTCTCAGAATAATGTCCTTAAATGCATAAAGTCCTTAGGACTGGAAAGGAAATCAAATATATTGAATTCTCAAGATGTTAGATTAGTGGTATGGTAACATGTGCTTTTTAGTTACTGTATTACATAACAAAATGTGTCATTGAGTCAAATAACTCATCATTTTGAAGTAGTGATAAGATTAATGGTATTTCAAGATAACTAACAACAGTAATGTGATATGGAGATGTTGGTTATTTCTGTTGGTGACAAAGTCACAAGAACTGCTGATGCTACTATGATTTGTTGCTTACTTACTTGAAGGAGATGTCAACTTTTTTGTGTATGTGAGACAGGGTCTTATTCTGTTGCCCAAGCTAGAGTGTAGTGGCACAATCACTGGTTTTTTTGTTTTTTTTTTAAATCAAGCTATTAAATGAATTTTTGTTTACTTCTAATTTTAAGATGATTTTTTTGGTTGAACCACCATGCCCAGCATTGATTTTTAAGATAATGTTTAAAGAAAATTTTCCAGTTAGATGACTTTGAAACTTTTTATATGTATGTTATCTCATTTCATTTTCACTTTAGGAAAATATCAAGAATGGCCATGCACTTCGCTAGTTTCATGCTGAAAATATTTCTGGTTCCCCTGCACTTTGTTAGTTTCATGTTGAAAATATTTCTGGTTCCTCTGTCTTTGATCCCATGTGTTTTATGGGTGCTGTGTGGCTATATATATATATATATATAGTTTTTTTATTATAATCAATATTTTTTATTATGATATTGTGGGGTACAGTTAAGGGTTAGGTATACAAATATGCTTCTTTGTTCAGGCACCCTTGTTGGTAAGAGGTGTCTCCCCGTCCCCCGACAGATCACAATCACTGCTTACTGCAGCCTTGACCTCCTTGGCTCAAGCAATCCTCCCACCTCAGCCTCCCAAGTAGCTGGGACCAAGTAGTTAGCCACTACCCCTGGCTAACTTTTATATTTTTTTGTAGAGATGCGGTCTCGCTATGTTGCCTAGGCTGGTCTCAAACTCGTAGGCTCAAATGATCCTCCCACCTCAACCTCAAACCATTCCCAGAATGCTGGGATTACAGGCATGAGCCACTGCACCTGGCTGAATTGTCAAATTTTAGTGAGAACTTAGCGAAGATAAACATGTAATACTAAAGTCCCTACCATCTGAATTCTGCCCACAGGCTTGCGGGCCCTGTGTAGGAGCCTTTGCTCCATACACAGCCTTCTCATGCCCTTGCTTTTGTCCAGTACTTTGATTCTTACTAATATTTCCAGTTTCTTTCCCCCATGTTCTTTGTCTTTCTGCTTCCTCCTGGCTACATGCATGCCTTTTTCTATCCAGATCAGACTTTCTAGTCTATCATTTCAACCACTTTCTTACTAATTCTCTCAACTCCCTTGTCCCTGTGTCCTCCAGCTACACCCTAGAGCAAAACCCCAAGGGATCAGTCTTGTCTTTACCACCTGTCCATTCTCTGGCCTTTCCCTCTCACTTCAACTTGGCTTCAGGCTCTTGGATTCCTGTCCTGAATTGTTTCTCTGGCCTCTTGCTCCTACTGACACTTAACTGAGATCTTCACTCTACTGTTTTTCTCATGAGTCCTCTGCTCTAAAAATTATCATGGGTTATTCAGGATTTTTGTTTGTTTGTTTTTTGAGTCAGAGTCTCACTCTGTTACCAGGCTAGAGTGCAGTGGCACACTCATAGCCACTGTAGCCTTGACCTGCTGGACTCAGGTGATCCTTCTGCCTCAGCTTTCCAAGTAGCTGGAACCATAGGCACGTGCCACCATGCCCAGCTAATTATTAATTTATTTATTGTAGAGATGAGGTCTTGCCAAGTTGGCCAGACTGATCTTGAGCCCCTGTACTCAGGCAATCCTCTAGCCTCCACCTCCCTAAGTGCTTGGGTTGTGTGAGCCACTGCGCATGGCCGGCTATTCAGTTTTTTCTTCCAAACATATCTTGTTGTTTGAGCCTAATTCTAACTCTGTACATGCTGCCTTTTCTTTCCTTCTTTGCCTACAACATATTTTTCTCCTTTTGTCTGACTCTATAACCCCCATCTCAACACTTGGTTGATTTCCTTGACATTTATTGTCTCCTCTTTATATTAGCTGCAGTAGAGGCAGGGACCCTGTCTCATCTCTGTATTCTCAGCATTCCATATGATACCTGGCAAATGACAGGGGCTTATTTTTTTGTTTACCTTTTATCTCTTTGTGAGACAGAGTCTTACTCTGTTGCCCAGGCTAAACTACAGTGGCACAATCATAATTCACTGCAGCCTCAAACTCTTGGGCTCAAGCAATCCTCCCATCTCAGACTCCCCAGTAGCTGGGACTACAGTTGTACACTGCCATGCTTGGCTTTTGTTTTTTTTTTTCCTTGTAGAGACAGGATCTTGCTATGTTGCCCAGGCTGGTCTTAAACTCCCAGGCTTAGGCAGTTCTCCTGCCTCGGCCTCACAAAGTGCTGGAGTTACAGTTGTGAGCCATTGTGCCTGGAAACAAGCACTTATTTTTTTTTTTCCATT